GTCTCTGACATGGCAACTGAATGGGTTCTATCATCTGTTTTTTTGATGGATGGGAACATTCCTGAACTTCTCCAGTCCATTTCACCCAGGAGAAATGAGCTTGGAATACTTATTTTATATTAAAGTCCACAAAAGGTGATTAAGCAAAGTTCATGACTGTCCATTAAAATGCACAAATGTTCTATTAAAGAAGAGAAGCCCCAAATGAGATCTTTATGGGCATGCATATTCATGAAATGCTGCCCAATTCTAGATTTTCCCACATGCAGTTATTACATTCACCTTCAGTCCCCTGTTTTATAGCACCTAATGCAGTGTTTCCTCCATTTGCGTTCAATGTATTTTTTTTTCAGAGTGAATGGAGGGATTTGCAGAATCAGCAGTTCATCCTCAAACTCAAACCAATGATTTTAACAGAGATATTTTCTTTTTGTTAATGGGTGATTTTCCTGTGGTTTTATGTTGGATATCATCCTCTCCCTTGGATATTTTCCTGACTCTTATAATGCCTGGTTCAATGTCAATATTTTGAAGTGCCTGTGAATAATAAATATGCAAACTTACATACACAGTTTTAAAATGTATGATTACATTAAACTTTAATATATTTTAATGTGAATAGTAAGACATTATTTCCTAAATAGAAATCTTTGAATACCCCAAATTTAATGAATTGTTAAAAGAAATGCTGAGGTATTTCAGCATATATACAGGCAGAATATTAATATATTGGGGTACATTCATTTTTTAAAAAATCAATCCTGGAAATTGGTGGTATGCAGCACACCGACTGATAATGTCATATAACTCAACTAGTTGTGCAACTATCTAATGATATATAGACAACATCCAATTACCAACTTAAAATTAAAAGCCTTAGCCAATCAGTGGAAATTTTTTTATTAAACAATTGTTTTATTTAATATTTTTGCTGAATTGAAAGCTTTAGCATGATGTGGCATTAATTAGAGTGAACTCAGCCTATGAGTTTGATCTTAATTCTAACTTTAATTTGAAAATGTGGTAATACTTCTTAAAGTTGTATCTTAATTTCTTTCTATTCATAAGTAGCTGGTTATTCACTCAATCAACAGATGTTAATTAAGCACCAATGGTGTGTAGCAATCCTATAGGTACTGGGGGGAAAACAAATTAAGTATAAAATGTGGATTCTGACACCAACAACCATATCATCTAATTCAAGTGAATGGCCAGCACTCATAAAACAAGCAGAGATATTGAGATTTCCCAGAATAGAGGTGGTTGAGTGATACACATAAAAAATGTTGAAAAGATCCCTGGCCAGTGTGGCTCAGTTGGTTGGAGTGTCATCCTGTGTACCAAAAGGTGGCAGGTTTACTTCTCCATCCGGGCACACACCCAGGTTGCCAGTTCTATCCTCCATGGTTCTATCCCCTGTCAGAGGCTCATGTGGGAAGCAACTGATTAATGTCTCTCTCTCACATAGATGTTTCTCTCTTTCTCTGTCTCCCTTCCTCTCTCTGAAATCAATTTTTAAAAAATGTTGAAAACATTCAGAAATTATATGAAAATTAGAGAAGATGAAAAATATATAACCCTTCCTTCTTTTATCCATTCATTCATTCATTCTTTCTTTCTTTTATTTATCACCTATGAACCTGAGAATAAAGGATTAATGAATAATAGTCATTTCCCTCATAGAGCCCTCTGTCTATCAGACAGCATAAATGCAGAGGAAGGGTAGCACGAATAGTTCTTGGAAGTGGTGAGACTTGAAAAGGTTAGTATTTGGGTTAATGGAAGAGAAGGAAGAAGGTATTCGAAGCATAAAAAGCAGCATGTGTCCAGGTAAAAATACAAGTTCCTCCAAGGTTTCCTTCATGTCTCCAATGATCAGCACTGAACAGGCATGCAGCAGGTGCTCAGAAAATATATGTTAAGCTTTTTAATAGGACGTTGCTAGGAGAGTAAGACGACTGACCTGGTAAAGTTTTCATTGTGAAGAGTAACAAGAAATAAGGAGAATTTTCTAGGTTGACTCAACCAGAGAGGTGACACTAGGCTGAGAGAAGAATGAAGATTCGCTGTAGTGCTTAGCCTGCTTTGACCAGAGGACTGATGACTTGAGCGTGGTGATCAATGAAGATGAATGTGGCACTCATGTGTAGACCTGTTTGTGTGATAGCTGATATATAGGTCTGGGTCCAAACCACGGGAATGTAGAGAGATCAATACCGGAGAAACTGGCTGCTTATCTGAATCCACTGTGACTAGGGGCTGAATTTTGGGATAAGACCAGCCGTGTAGTTATTGGAAAGGAAGGTCAAGGATGTTTACATAAGTAAATAAGTGAAGTTAAGCAGGAGGATCAATTGGAAGCAAACACCAGGAAATCTCACTTAATTCTGATGGATGGCAAATGTATGCCTCTTTTTAGTGGACATGGTGTGCGTGTGTGTGTGTGTGTGTGTGTGTGTGTGTGTGTGTATGTGTATATTACATAGCTTGAAGCATACATGTGCCGGTTTGTGCCATGGAGTATTTTAAGTACAACTCCTTTCATCTAGCAGTCTCTATAAACTTAGGATCAGAGGAAAGAACTATCAAGCTATTAAAATAAGACAGGTTGGCAATGTTGAGCTAGGCCAGTATAGTGCAAATTGCATTCAATCAAGGATACACTGAAGCTTCTTTTTAAAGGAGATTGGCCCTGTTAATCCATATGCCTGTTCTAATCAAAGTCCTCAGAAATTGGTAATGACAAGTGGGAAATTGTGCATGGAGATATAGATATGCCAGGGTTACTTTGGACTCCCCATGCTAGCTCTGGTTTAGTTTTCAACATTCTTGCTGATAAAAAAAATTAGATCTAGAAAAGTTGATCACTTAAGCAATGCTGAACTTCTCCCTCCCTTCCTCCCTCTCTCTCTGCCTTTCTTCCAGGCCCTGTGCAATATATTGAAGACACAGGTCCCAAATAAACCATAATCTGGTATTAGAGACAGAAGTGCATACCAAATCAAAAACTTTAATATACTATTTAGATGCCATAAACGAGAAGGAAACATGACCTGCAAAGTTCAGAGTTCTCTCACTATGAGCTAGGTAGGATATTCTCCCCAAAGGGAAAAGAATAGAATGAGTCTACTCAGGGTCTACTGCTGAGTGTATCTTCAATAGATTATCTGATTATGCATGAACTGTGCATAAGAAACTGTTCCATTTCTCACCCCCAACAAACACTCTCCCAGCTCATGTGAGAGCATGACTTAAATGTTTTTCCTACTGTTTGCCATGTAACCCCTTACTACGTATATGGTTGTTGGTCTTGATTGATGAACTTGTTTCACTCTGTTCCTCATGCCAATAAAGATCTCTCTAATGGCTACAAAGGCTACTTTTCCTATCAATGGAATCCTATCATGGGAGATATAAGTAAAGGAAGAACAGTAGCATATAGGTATAAAATGTAAAATTATCCTTTTAAATCATCTTCTGTTCAGGCTTTTCAGAGATGTGATTAAGATCAATTGACCCATCCCTTGCATTACTTTACATAAACATCTGTAATACTTTCAACAATAAAGATAAATTTTTAAAAAAGAGGAAGAAATGCAGCATTCAGCCCTGGACAGGTGGCTCAACTGGTTGGAGCATCATCCCATACATCAAAAGGTTGTGGGTTTGATTCCCAGTCGGGGTATATACCTAGTTTGCAGGTTCCATCCCTAGGTGGGTCACAGACGATGTTTCTCTCTCTCATTCCCATTCCCTTCCTCTCTCTTTAAAATAAAAAAAAACATATCCTCAGATAAACATCAAAAGGAAGGAAGGAAGGAAGGAAGGAAGGAAGGATGGAAGGAAGGAAGGAAGGAAGGAAGGAAGGAAGGAAGGAAGGAAGGAGAGCGGCATGCAATATTGCTTGCTTTTTAATTAAAATGCAGTTTCTCCCAACATGGGCAACAAGAAGAGAGCTGACCGCTAGCTAGTTTGGCTCAGTGGATAGAGTGTCAGTCTGCAGACTGAAGAGTCCCCCGTTCAATTCCAGTCAAGGGCACGTACCTCGATTACAGGCTCCTGCCTGACCCGGGCCCTGGTCAGGGCTCCTGTAGGAAGCAACCAATCAATGTGTTTCTCTCACATCGCTATTTCTTTCTATCTTTCCTTCTCTTTTCCACTCTCTCTAAAAAGCAATGGAAAATATCCTTGGATGAGGATTAAAAAAAGAAGAAGAAGAAGAAGAGAGCTGAAAATGTGTCTCACATACAAAGCCAGTCTGGAAAATGAAGAGTAATCCTCTCCCCCCTTTTTCTTCAATAGCAGAGTTCATTCCCATTAGCTGGAGACCACGCTTTAAGAACTTCCATTTCCTGGAGAAGTCACATTAATAGAGACAGAAAGTACAATGATGGCTGCAAGGGACTGAAGGAGGAAAGAAAGAGTTCATGTTTAAAGGGTACAGAGTTTCAATTGGGCAAGATGCAAAAGTTCTGGAGATGGATGGTGGTGATAGTCACACAACAATGTACTTAACTGAACTGTACACTTAAAATTGTAAAAATGGTAAACTTTGTGTATGTATTATAAAAATATAAAAAGAAAAACAGGAATTTCTAACGTAAGTGGTGAGCATTCTTTAAAAATATTGCTGTGTCTTTGCTTTCTTACTAAGTATTGATAAGGAAAATTATAAGAAAATGATAATATATATCCAGTTTAAAATTTCATACTTTGAGCTCAATTATGGATTAATGTTGTATGGTAATTTATCATTGCTTTATGACAGAGAAAAAGAATCAACTAAATAAAAAGATTTATAACACCTAAATTTTGCTTTATTAAGAGAAAATGTATTTCTTGTGTATCCATGGTCTGGCCAAATTAATGAGGGTATCAGAGCTAGTCACTCAGTCTGCATGGTCATAATGGTTTCTCGCTTCTTTAAAATGGATGCATCAGATTTTGTCTTATCTTGTTTTTGCAATAAAAATGTGTATTGATACTCATGCTCTTTTCAGGATAGGGTGTGGGCCAACGTGGGGAAGAGCCTGAACTGCATTATTGCTATGGTGGACAAACTGATTGAAAGTGATGGTGGTAGTGAAGACAGCGGTGGCAGCAGAGATGGAGAGCAGGACCTTTCTGTCGTGGACTCCATTAAAACTCATCCAAGGGGTAAGGAATCTTTTTTCTCCAATCATTGACTGAGTAAACAAAATGAGAAAGTCATGATAAAATGAGACAGAAAGAGAAGAGTCAATAGTGCCTTTGATGAAAGTGCTGATAGCACGCTTTTCCACCTCTCTGGCTTGGATGATGGAAGGCTACTTATCAAATTGCATCTCAGTTGCGTTTTCAGAACTGCTTGCAATGCTCATTTTTTTTTTGGCTACATAACAACCTTGTCAAAGAAGAACAGAGTTTTCTTTTACAGAATCCAACATAGTTTAATCTACTTTTATGCATTCCTACAAAATTTTATTAGGAAGAAAAACAAGCATCTGATCCTAAAACTCTTAGAAACTTTGAGAGATATCAGGACACAGTATCTCATAATCGTTCCTGAAAAGCAATATAATAGATGAAATGCTTTTTGCCTCATTCTGAGGGATATTTTTTGTGAATAATTTCAGAAAGATATAAGAAGGTCTGATTCCATATAAGAATAATATGTTTGTGCATTATTCCAAAAACATATTAGTAAGTCTAGATTTTTATGGATACATGTACACACGCATACACACACATACATATATATGCATACACATGTGGGTATGTAATGTGTGTCTATAGATAGGCATATAGATAAATAATTTGAGATCTATGGCTTATTAGTAGGTTGACTAGCAAATATAACAATCAAAGTTTCAACTGTAGTTTTGTCCCTATAAATGGCTTTTTTATTTAAATCTTTTAGGTAATTTGATTAATTTTGACAACACAAAACAAGACAAACATCTGGGGGGGGGGTTATGGTAATAAGAACTGCTGTGAGAGTTGCCCCAGCCCTTTTCCTAGATGTGTTAAGTGTTTGGAAAGAATAAACAATGTTGCCCTACCCTCTTCTGCAATCTGCTTTTCCTCTCACTTTAAGAAAATGAGCTATAAGAAAATATAGGTGCTTACAATATTGCATTTGTTTTGCCAATTTGTTTTCCTGATTTTTCATTAGTCCCATTTTCATCAGGGGTTTAATTATGTGAAACATCAGTCTTTCAATTTTTTTTATTGTAGATGATCCTCATCTGCTATGTACATTGACATAGGTGGATAGTTTACACTAATGTTCTTTATGTTCAGACCTCCCGGGTTTAACTGTAATGGGGATTTTCTTTTTTTAATAATATCAGTTTCATTAGCTAATGAATCTAGTCCAGTTCCACAACTTTGCATGAATCAGAATGAAAGCTTGTCATAATTCATATGATAAAAAAATCATATATTTCTATTTTCTTTAATTGAATATTTCTTGACTATTAACTATGAGCCAGACACTGTGCTCTAGAAAATGAGGTAAGGAAGCAGAATCCATTTTAGTGACTTGTTCTGCCCCTTGATGGGTTTTCAAGGCATAAGATTAATTTCTCAAATAGCCCAAAATTTATACCCAGGTCATACCTGGGGTAGAAAAGTCATTTAATTCGTTTTTTCTTACAATTAATTGATGTAGAGTCAGTGAATGACCTAGAATTTATTGGAATGTATGATATGGTACATACTGATGGGCATTTGTTACATCATTTATTAGTGATTTGTTTCCTCATGTAGGTTTTGTTTTGTTTGTTTTTTCTTTATATATAAAGTTAAGTAAACATTTTTACTCAATTTCTGGAATTTTTCTTCTGTTAATTTATGTTTTATTTGGGATACATTTTGAAATCTCATAGGGTAAGTCACCCCTTTGACAGTCAGTTTTTCTTTCTTCATCACCAGCCTTTATTTTCACATTTTAGCTATAATTTGTGTTGGTTTTGCTAGTGTATAGCTAACATGGTCAAACCAACAGTATTCTGAATTGTTACTACCTTTATCCATGTTTTATGTTCCTCTCTAACCTGCAATTTTCTTTTAAAGTTTCAGATTTTCCTTTTATAGTGTACTTAATAGTGTTTTAAATATGTGTTTTTGAAGGGTTTTCATTTGTTTTAGGTCCAGGATTTTGCCATATGTATTACTCACTTCATACACTTATTTTCAGGATTAATGCCAGTAGTGTTGAAAGAAGTAAAAGCTTCTCTCTTGTTCTCAACACAAATAATAGAGTATCTGGTCCCAACATTCATGGTCATATGTATTTACATGTTTTCTTTATGAACAAGATGGTCCTTTTAGTTTTTATACACTTAAACATGCTTATAAGCATCTATTGTATGCATAATACCACATGACTTCAATTTCATAATAAAGTAAGGACTCAAGGATAAAATCAGAAAAAAATTAGAATCTTAGACTACAGTGTGCCCTTAAAGATTCTGTAATTAGCTCTGCCAGTGAGGCTTTGTGGTTGAGCATTGAACTATGAACCAGCAGGTCACAGTTCTATTCCCAGCCAGGGCACATGCCCAGCTTGTGGGCTCTATCCCCAGTAGGGGCTATACAGGAAGCAGCCGATCAAAATTCTCTTTCATCAATGATGTTTCTATCTCTATCCTTATTTCCTCTCATAAATCAATAAAAATATATTTTTAAACCTCACTAAATTATGCTAAGAAGCTTACCTGCAGTGTCTCTGACTTTCTCACCTATCCTATGATACACATCTCCACTGGTAGAAAACCATTTTTATTTTTTGAGTGGCAGATTCCAGATGATTGAAATGTGTTTCTTTTCACTTTACTCGCTGGCCCAGATCTAATCCTCTGCCCCAAACAGGACAAATTTACTCCCCTTTTTCCACAGTATCACATAACATATCATAAAGCGATCATCATGTCCATTTTTAAATTGCCACTTTTGGGGTCATTTTTCAAAGCAATAGCATGGAACACAGAGTGACACAGGAACACCACCTCCTTCCTTTTGGATACAATTCTATTAATGATATCCTAACTCACATTAGCTAGTTTGACCACCACATTATACTCTGAAGTCCACGTATATCTATAAATCTTGCTAAATTTGACCTATCTCTCAGGCTTCTCCAGATTCAAGTAATATTTAAGCACCCTGTATGTTAGAAATTGTGAAATACTAGGGGCACAAGGAGATCAAGACACAGTCTATCTCAATTCTACTGAAAAGATTGATCTCTAAACCCATGACTGCAGCATAATACACTTTTCAGTACACTCTAATAAATACCTATTTCTTTCATCCATCACATCTACTGTCCTACCTAGGTTTATTTTATTCACATTTTATAAATATTTTCTGTCCATTCACAGAAGTAATGGATAAAAATGATGGGAAAACAGAGATAAAAACAGCTCTTTGAGGTACATCACTAGAAAAACTGTATGCATTGAAATACACTGATTAATCACTGCTCTTTGGGAATGTGTGTTCAACCATCTGTGTATCCATTCATCTTATTGCATGTCCTGTATTTTTTTTTTGTCTTCAAAAGAGTATCAAGAAATGCCCCATGGAAAGACCAAATACCATAAGTCATTGAATACTTTTTCCTAATGTATCCAGCCATAAGCCCTGACAACATATGATTTGGCAGATTAATTTTTAATTCAAGTATAGTTGGGGTACAAAATTATATTACTTTCAGGTGTATGACATAGTGACTCCACATTTATATAATTTATGATGTGATCACCATACTAAGTCTAATAATCATCTGTCACCAAACAGTAATTACAATACTAGGGGCCCCGTGCACGAAGGGTCCCTAGGCCTGGCTGGCGATCAGGGCCGATCGGGGCCTTCCTGTTACTAGCCGCACCTTCCTTCCCCAGCTGCCAGCTGCCGGCCAGGGCATTTTTGTTCCACGCTGCTCCCTGGTGGTCAGCACATGTCATAGTGAGCGATCAAACTCCTGGTCTCAGGTTGAACTCCTGAGGGGACACTGTGCATATTAGCCTTTTATATATAGAGATTATAATATTATTAACTATATTTCCTGTACTGTACACTATATCTCCATGGCTTACTTATTTGAATTTGGCACATGTTCTTGATATTATTAAGTGAATATCTTTAACATGTGTGCATATGGATGTATACCAACATGAAAATCATTATATTCCAGAACTTATACTCAAATTAGCAATTATTTCATACATATAAGAAATCTAGCCGAAACTGGTTTGGCTCAGTGGATAGAGCGTCGGCCTGCGGACTGAAAGGTCCCAGATTCAATTCCGGTCAAGGGCATGTACCTGGGTTGCGGGCACATCCCCAGTGGGAGATGTGCGGGAGGCAGCTGATTGATGTTTCTCTCTCATCGATGTTTCTAACTTTCTATCTCTCTCCCTTCCTCTCTGTAAAAAATCAATAAAATATATTTTTAAAAAAAGAAATCTATTTTATTTTTTAAAGTGCAAAGATTCAAGCACAGAGTATCATTTTTATCAAAGGGCTTAACTATTAATATTTTTGAATTTCTACACATGAAAATTTAGAATTTCATGAGAAAGAAACATGAATGAATCAAGTCCTTTAGAACCCATAGATCAGCAGGTAAAACAACTTTTTAAAGTACATTTACAAGTTTTAAAAAACCTTGGTAAAAAAATAAGCAAAAGTGACCATGGATATCTTTATTGTAAACTTACAATTCCAATGATGATTTATATGATTACATTTTTGAATGTCTGCTCTTATCAAAAAAATAATGTTTCCCTTAAAATTGTTCAATGAACTACGATGTAACAAAACAACACGACTCAGAACCAAGATACTTGGTGAGTCTACAATTTATTTATTTGGCTACATGATCTTTGGCAGATCACTTAAATTCTCTGGACCTCCTTTTGTTGGTAAAATATATATCACCTGCAAAATTTTAAAATTGCTTCTAGTTCTAAAGTTTTATAATAATAAAGATGCCACATTATTTAAAGTTACTTTTTTCTTTCCTTTCAGGCATTTAACAGATTTTATTTTATTTTTATTTTTTTTATTGATTAAGTTATTACATATGTGTCCTTATCCCCACAATACCCCCCATGCCCCCCACTCATGCCCTCACCCCCCCCCCCCCCCCGGTGTCTGCATCCATTGGT